GGATTGTTTAGGACGCGGTTTTGTTAAACTTTGTATAAATAATCAGACCATGGAGTTTCCTAAAAGTTTCGTCTTTCCTTCAACATACAGGATGAGAAATACGATCATATCGAAGCAGAAGAAATAAAAAAGGTTGAAGATGCTGTGGCAGATAAGGACAAATGGTTCCAGGAAAAGTGGAGTGCACAGAACAGTCTCGCCAGTCATCAAGATCCGGCTGTGTATGCCTCCGTTATACTCTCTGAAAAAAAGGTATGGATCCCTTTATTTCCTTCGTTCTCGAGTCTATAGTTGTGGTTTTTGCTTTCCTTTTAAATTCGGTATTTTTCTAGGTAAGCTCGTGTGGAAGAAAAAACCCGCAATGAAAACACATGCTTCTGTAAGATGGTTGCTCTCCACGTCCTTGCCTGCAAAGCAGCATTTAATTTTGCAAAGCTTTCTTAACTTTTAAGTCTAAAAATGTCGAATGTCCTCCAATTAGAGTTACGAGGATTAGCGTTTACGCACTAACCCGGCACTAAGCTAGCATTGTCGTGTTGTCTGATTATTGTTCTCCCCGACATGAACCGAAGTCACTTGAAATAACGTGATCGTACGCGGAAATAAGAGTGTAACGGAAGAATTACTCTTGTTTTTCGTTTAAAGCCTTCGGTACATGCGCCTTAACGAACAACTTGAAAATTGTCTTTGGCTTTGCGTATTTTTTTTCTGTAGCTGTTGGAAGACACGTGCTACACGATCTTGAACAAACCGAAACCAAAGCCCAAAGCCGAACCACCCCCTCCCCCAAAGGAAGAGGAGAAGAAAGAAGAGGGGACGGGAGAGTCGACAACGGAAGAGAAAATGGACCAAGAAGGAGAAAGTGCGGAGAAACCTAGTGAAGATCAAGATCAGGAAGGTGGCGAGGAAACCAAAGCGGACACAGACATGGAGATTGATTAGCTATTTATGATTAATAGTCGAGGAGTAAAAAGTTCAGAAGCAAATACTGATGTTTTCATTACGGTGAAATTAATCGCTAATTTGTCAGTTACTTTGTTTTGATTTGCGCCTCCTGCAATGATGGGCTGGTTTTTTAAATGTTAAGTTATCGTAGACCACAATCGATTCTTTGATTAAGGCTCAAGGAAATGGTGAAAGGTTTTTTTCTTTAGCTTTGAAATCCTGTGCGTATGTCAGTGAAGGACTACGAGAAGCGATAAGTAGAAAACAAGTAACAAATGCAACAAGCAATTATTTTTTAGCTGGCCCCTCTCCGCATGGCTCCGTAATCTTAATGAGTGGTAGTGTTGCTGTCTCTCAGTCAGGAGAAGATCGAAGAGAAGCACTAGCAAATGCAAT